CAAATAAAATTCGATGTAAGTCGTTTAACTCTATGTAGTCAATATAAACTTATGTTCAATCAGTTCAAAGGTTTTATGATACTAATTATTTTATGGAAGTTTTATTTATATGCATGTTTGCTGTACAGTCTAAGAGTATAAATAATCACTGTTTAAGCTGTAAATCTGAGAATCCACACTACAGAAAAAACGGTAGTGCTAAGCCTCATTTTTCATGTGGATTTCCAGTGATAGCAGAGACTTACGTCATAAAAACTTTGATGTAGCTACATTAAGTCTTTGAATATAAGTTACATTAGTAAGTTTTGCGGCACAATACAGCTTATGTTAATTTCTGAAAAGGGTAAAAATAATACATTTATAATTTATGTAAACTATACATAGTGCAACTATAGTTTGAATAATCTCAGGTCCATTCTAAGCATATTTCCATTTTATAAGAAAAACTGTGTTTATTATTCACTATTATTAAAATCTTAAAATAATTTCAAATAATTCTACACAGCGTGATATACGATGTAAAAATATTGATGAAGATTAACACTAACTTTGTGTTATTCCATAATCACACAGCTTGTGTTCCTCAAACAAAGTTTTATGAACTCTAACACGGTTATTCTAATATGCACGCAAATTAGGTGTTTTTTTCTAATAACACAAATGACGTAAGCTTTTCAATTCAAAATTGAATTTATTAAATACATTGTTTTGTTGTGAAGTCACATTTTTGTTATGTGTACTTAGATTGTATAAAATTAAACACAAAGACTGTGCATCAGCCACAACGATTGTGTTGCTTTTAAAGTATTGTAGCCATTCAAAACCAGTCACCAGAATCTCTATACAGAACATAAGTTTTTACAGTGTATTCGCCCATTTAAATCATTTCAAAAAAGTGAACAAAGTGTTCATATAAATGAGAGTCTATGATCATCTGTAAATGTATTAACTGTGAAATTTTAATTTAATTTTTAATGAGTCATAAAAAAGTATAATGTAGACAGGAAAAATAAACATGTGTAAGTCCCATAAAATAAAGCTTATTCTAATTCTGAATAGTTTCATATTCTCGTAGCTATATATACAATCCCAGTGAACTTTTGAATATCCTTTATGTTAAAGGTTTAGTTCATTTTCCCAATTAGTCTGTATTACTAGGATAAGAAGTTTATCCTTTGTTAGGACAAATAAACTTATTACAGTACTGATATGTTTAGTTAACAACCTCTCTGTATCTTTCCTGAGAGTCTTTTTTCATAACATTAAAAAAAAAAATCACAAAGAGTTGCAGTGGTAATGAATTATTATCGTAAGCTGCATTATAGTTTTACAGGCTTCTATGAAACAAAGAAAAGGATGTTCAACCTCTTTAAAAAATTGAATCTAAATAAAGAAACACAAGAAATAAGGTTTGTTCAGGCACTCGGTAATGCTTAATCATAAAGAACAGCGCATTGTGAGGGTTTGGAGATAGATTAAGCAAAAACGTCGTTAAAAATATCTGTAACAACCCTGGTATAAACAAAGGTTAATTACATAGAGCCTAACTATCTCTAGAAGTCTTCTTTTGACAATGTATCTTCAGCTGAAGCTTCATCGTCCGTCGATTTTTAAAATCACGGCTGACCGATTCTTTGTTATATTTTTGTGTTTCAAATAGTCGAATGACGATAGTTACAGCCACTCACACGATATTACAGGAAAACACACAAATACGTATCGAGTTTTAACTTACATGGCCATTAAAGTGTTCCATCGAAAATTATGTTTCGTTCACTGCATACGTTTTATTCTACATTTAATATATTTTGTGTAACGAATTTGTTGTTATGTATTTATTTTAATATCAACGTTGTTTACATTAAGTTTACATTTAGAAACAGGCATAGTCTATAGTGTAAGATATGTATTGTGAAACTCCCGCTTGTTATCCAAAGTTGTCGAAGATTCTCGAGAATGAGAATCAACAATATATCTATATACGTAAACGTTTAAATATAGCTCAGTATTGTTATGTAATCTAAATTTTCTAGAAAACCTTCCCACGCCTATAAATACAACCAACGCGACTCGCC